AAAAACAAATTGATAAAGAAGCATCGCAATGTAAGTTATTGAAGATTCTGGAATAATAATTACAATTATAACTAATTCACAGTAAAGTACAAAATACAGTTTGCTGTGGTGAAATTTTAAAAGGCAAGGAAAAATAGTAATCCTCCTGCAATTATATTCGTTGTTAAGTTTTACATTTTAAACAATGTATAAAGTTTTTGTAAAAATCTATCCAGAAAACATTTTTTGGTAAAAAATACCTATTGTATTAAGTTCGATTTCTTGAAATTAAGAAGTGATTTCAGTCCAAAATAACACGAATACTCCTGAAATGTTTATTCATTTAAGTTATTTACCGGGTCAACCCTAAAATATGGACTAGCCTTTCTTTACACTAGCATGCAGATATAGATACTATATCTATACAAACTATAGATACAGACAAAACAAAACAAAACATTGCACAGGCCCTTCGTCTGGTCCGTCACAGATTGCGTAAAATCTTCAGACTCCTATATTTATAAGATCGCTGAGGCGAACACAAAACTTCATTTTGTATCTGTGTCGGTATTGAGAAACAAGAAAAAGTAAAAAGTTTTGAACAAGGGATCAACTTTCTCGTATTGAATGGAAAAATATTTTAAGGTTAAAATATTGGAGGATTTTTTTGGGGTTCTGTCGTCAATAGATAACAGAAGCCTAAACTATAATATTAATTACCCAGAAAATAGAAATAATCTTAATTTCATATTTCGTCTTATCTACTTAACCGATTATGGAAACCGACGAAGGGTATTTTTCATCCAGGAACAGTAATAGAATATATGTAAAAGTATTTAACAATAATTTGATATATTGTTACCAGTTTTGAATAATAATGTTGTATTATTGTCAATGTGTGTTCTATAAGTGTGACACGACGCACCAGCAAATTGCTTAATAAGGACCAACGCAAATTGAGCGCCAAATTGCTCTAACACTATTCAAATGTTAATATATTATGACCCCTATTCCATTAAAATAGAGCTGGAAAATCGCATGCACCGTGGAACAGTTATGCTTCACTGCATATGGGTCAGCTAGACTGGTACGAAATAACGGTCATAGCAAAACTAGGTTGAATTGCAGGTGTCCAGTAGTCACTTACCCGTTTGCTGGTTTGTCCTCTATTCCATAAAAAAACCTTTAATGTAATGTAAGTCCTGGGTTTTTAAATCTTTTTTCGCCGCATCCAAGGACCCTATTATTTATTTATTTATGATTACCCCATAAAGATCCATATTCATCTGTATAAACAAAAACGATTTAAATTATTTTATCATGAACAAGGCAATCTCTAAAACTATTACGTAGCGGGCAAGTCGAGGGTGTCTTTTATATTTACTAGTAGGTTTGACTAGTGTACGTGGACGTCTCTATCCTAGTCAGTTCTCCAATAGTCCAGTCACAGGACATAAATTTGTACATCACGGTTTCTTTGACCTACTGTGGCCTCCAGCTAATTTCCTTACCAAAAAATTACCTTTTAACGTTATCCTGTTTGAAAGGGATTTCATTTCCAAGGATGTTAGCCGTTATGCTGGTGGTCATAAAAGAAACTCGGTAAAATATTTTGCAATGTTATAGATTGCGCCGATTCCAAATAAATTTGTAAAGAGGGCAGGAAAATGATGATAATAAAAGAAATTAAAGTTTAAGGGTCCGTTGCCCTTGGACACCTGCGACTTAAGAGTCATAAGTGCGTTGTCCTTTAAGCCCTTCCCCTCAGAATATAGGGGAATAAGGGAAGGGGTTTTGGTAACCAGTAACTTCATTCATTCAGTGAAAAACAACGAAACATTCTGCGAGGTCATGGTATCACTCCGGTTGCGCCATCCTATTTATGCCACAGCATGCCTCTCCCACGGAAATGTCGGCCATGTCTCTTAATATCAGGTGTGCAGAACCCAACTAGTTATATGATTCACACTTGAAAGCACCCCACACTTTTACTATTTTGTTTTGCTATTTAATTAGATACAAATAAGACTACAACAATTGCAATATCTTGACATAATTAGTGTCCTCTGAAGAATACTTTTAATTTTTCACTGAAAAGACTCATTATTAAAAAATAATACTAACAGTACGAAAAAAATATTTAATTATAATATGTAACTTAAATACACTAGTATATAGAAAACCTCCGAAGCTACCTGTAGGCTCCAAAAGATAAACAAGTCATTTCGAGGTCAATTTGTCCGATTTTATAATAAAAGCTCAAATAAAATACAAGATTTAAGTATAAACAAATTTAAATCCACAGTGATGCGTAGGCTGTTTCAGAAGGCCTATTACTCGATTGTGGATAACATAGAAGACAAGATAGCGTAGGATTAAATTAGCACAGGCTATTTCTTAAGTGGAAATGTAGTGATGTTTTTTATTTATTTTTCTCATCTTAAATG